AGATCTTCTCAAGCTTATAAATCGAAACAAATTGGGTAATCAATCCAATACACAATCATATATATGGAATCAAATAAATTAAAAATTGACCAACACAAGTTCACAATTGCAAGAAAAATGACAAGAAATAGACAAATACATTACATACGATGATGCCATTAATGTACTAAAATGCATAACATCATAGTAGTTTTAAATAAAATTTATAAATAAATAAAAATTGAGTGGGGGCATGGGATTACACTGTTCCCAATGTGCCTCCACCTGTATTTATTAACAAAGAATATAAGATGATAACACTAAGTGCACGATATTAAATCTTACGATCAGCAAAACATTGCCGTAAAGATATGGGATCAATTGATATCATCAATGACTTCATCAGCTACATAGTCTTGCAGACTATGTATATCTACTTAATTTGTTTAATTTTACCACGGAATATTATTATAAACATTTTCAAAATATGACCCCAATTGCCACTTCAAAGTAAAGTTAGGTACATACATGGAAGCAAGTCATATATCTAGTAATTTATAATACATGGAAGCAAGTCATAGTGATGAATTGGAGTTTTCCAATTAGAAGACAAAAACTAAATCAGTTTGATTCTTCATATCAGAAAAAGACTTGCCCTTTAGTTAGTCTAATCTTAGCTAAATAATTGGTTTCTTGATGTACAAATAGACAAAGTATATATATAATTGAAATTTCCACGTCACTAGGGTTGCTTCCCGTGAAGGTAATTGGGGTTTTTGACAAAGTCTAAAAGGATAATAAAGTCAAAAGTGACACATGTATATAGTGACACAAAGTGCATTGTCAATTTATCACGAAAATTAATGGCGTTGTTTGGTAAAGAAAGAAGTCCCCCTGTTCTAACAATGACAATAATAACGTTTTCTTTTGTATATAAGATACTTTTACGACGATTTCAATACATTCACATCAAAGTTATATTATTATAATGACGTTAACTACAAACAGGTATCGAACTCATCACAAATATATATCGTCGACATTATTTATGTCAACCGAACTTGAAATCTCCTCAAATGAAGTGAAGGAAAATATACCAAGATACCAAAAGTTAGTGATATGTCCTTATTTTTTTGATTACGATAGTTAACAAGCCTTATGAATTGTCATGTTAGGATTGGCAACAAAGGCTCTATTATTTGCATAAATGAAGTGGTACTTAGATAGTATAGGGTCCCCACACCATGAAATTAAGCTTAGCCAATTTTGTTTTAGATAAAGCTCAGTCTTAGTCATGTGCTTTAATTTATATATTTATAACAACATTATTATTGCATGCATGCATGCATCTGCCAAGTTCTCGATTGAAAAACTTAATTTCGCAGCCACAAATTAATTATGTAATGTAATCCAATAATATATATATGCATACAATGACTGGTAGAAAGATAATATTGGGAAATTGGCAATTTGCTTGTAGCTTTTGGTATGGACAAAAATCATTGAATTATTTGAACATCGTGGTGTCGGCCACTAGATGTTAATTATGTTATATGCTCATGTGAGTGGATGAGTGAGTTGCTTTTCTTTTTCATGAAAAAAAAAACACCAGCAGCAAGAAGAGGGGTCAGCCAAGTAGGCTCCTCCTCAATCCATGTTACATAATTTGTGCAGCTTAATGCAAACCACGCAAGAAAATGAGCTACTCTATTGCATTGGCCATGTTGCCAATAGCAATTAGAAGAGCGCAAAGAGTTTCACTTCTTCAACCAATGCACCGTCTGCCTCATAACTTTCGTCCCCCGACCAAAGAGCTTTGATAACCTCCCTTGCATCCATTTCCAAGATTACATCATAAAATCCTAGAGCCAAAGCAAATTGCATACCTTACATTGCAACTAGGCTAAAACAACATAATAATGTAAATTAATATTTAATGTGGGGCCTTCTTCAAAGTGGGGCTTTGTGCGGTAGCTTACTTTACTGATGCCAAACACCACTCCTGACTAAGGCCCCGTTTGGTTCACAGAATGAATTTGACGGGAAATCATTTCCCATGTCACTTCCCAATGGATGGGAAATGGAAGATTTCTTTCCTGTTTGGTAATGCTGGGAAAGTAACCGAGAGATATTACTTTATTTCATTTCTCATGTTTGTTTTGAGTAGGAATGAAAAACAAAGTTTGTATAAATTTTCAATTATACCCATATTAAATCAAATAAAAAAGAATGCAGTTAATAATTTATTGTAATTATAAATTGTTTATGGGGACAAAATTTTCATGAAAAATGTTTATTTAATATTGACTCATTTTCCCAAACTTTCCCGTGAGGAGGGAAAACAAAACCCAAGTTGGCAGGATGGCTTCATTTTTCCCTCTACTTTCTCATGGGCCAGGAAACGATTTCTTATGCCTGAACTTACCAAACATGAGAAAACAATTGATTTTCCATCCCTAATTCTCCTTTCTCATGAAAGAGTAATGATTAGTGTATATATATATCTTTAATCAACCGCTAAACAAAACATTTTTGGCTTTTGCTTATTCCTACAATCAATACTTACCTTTAGTATAATTAATTAATATTTATACCTTTAATTAGAAATTGCCTAATTGGCTAGTAGAACAAACTATAGTACTAGTGTTTGATTATAAATATATATATCTTTAATTATTATTATGGTTCCCATGGGGCAATAACATGCACATATATCCACTCCATTAATTATTTACTAGGTACATTTAATTTTTAACATGTTGCACTATTGGTCATTGAATTTCCATATCCATGCAAAGGTTTCTGATTTATATTTGGGAAGAAGATAAGGATTATATAACTAATGCAGCAGAGCAGCACAAGTGTATATGGATACAGCAGCCAGGATATGTTAAACACTGTAGAGAGAGAGAGAGAGAGAGGATAAGATTTAAAAAAAGACAACTGCTTCCTTGAACAAGATCAAACAGATTTGCAATAATAGCAAGTGTTCCTGTCTTTTTTTTAGAGAGAGATAGAGAGAGGAATGATAAATATGATCAAGTTGGGGTGGACGATAACCTTTAAAACAACATCAAAAAGACCAAAAGTTCTGAACTTTTCATCATTTGCAGAAGAGAGAGATCTGTGTCACATTTCAAAATTACCAAATTGAGCAAAAACAAAGACCTAAAAAGGCAAGTTGCATAGGTTAGAAGTTGCCAAGGCCAAAGTTGACCCTCCTGATTCTGCAGGGGCGGATCAAACATTGATATATAACTAATCCCATGAAACAATAAGCATCTCAGGTATCTCTTCATATATCTTAATGAGTTGGAATTCACGTTACATATGATATGACCAACCACAACGTGCAATCGAGTTTTCAATTTCATGAATTTAAGTTGACTCTGGACAGCTGTTGTTTTGCAGAATCTGAAGCGTGGCCTGTTCCCTCAACTTCTCACAAAACCCAATTAAAAACTAAACATAAGTTTCCTACATATGTGCACGTACTAATTACGAAGTGACAGCGCTTAAGTTTCTTAACTAATAATCCCTTCCCCAGTTAAGCTACCAGGAATCTAGTACATAATATTATAACTGTTTTAACTTTCTTTTATGAACCTGGGGAGCTGTTTTTATTTATATTTTTGCTGACAGTTAATTGATCAAATGGATAAGGCAACCAACAGATCACATCATAAATTCATAATCCATGCTTCTGATCGATGCGGTCACTGGTCAGTCAGCGTTCTCCTAGATTTCCTTTTCTCTAGTTAATAGTTAATACAAACAATCAAAATTAACTTACTCCTTTTGCAGATGAGCATGCAGTTTTCTATGCTCTTCTGCTTTATACACTGTAATTCATCTCTCTCTCTGCTATGGAGATATATATATATATATATATATATATATAGAATATATGAGTCTCCATGCAGTTCAGGTGATGATAGGTTGAGATGAGTAAGATATTAGATATAATAACAGGGGAAATATGTGGATTTTGTTGTATCCCTTGGCATTAAGAGGACCACATGCTCCAACGGAAGACAAGGCACTTGATCTGTTTTCCATGTTTTAAAAACTAATATTATTATTGAATTATGCCATCTGGGGTGTTGCAGTTTCGCAGGTTATTCCTTCTTATTTATACTTAATCTTTTGCCATACACAGGTCCACAATTTCCAATATTAGAAATCACATTATAAATCTGTTGTTGTTGTTGTACTTTTCATTCTCAATTGTATCATCATTTTAATAAAATAAAAAAAGGCATAGTTGCATAATTCAGCAGGGCATGGGAGAGACTAACATGGAAATCAAATTAACAGTTCTTCTCGTATGCGTATGCAGACATTATTACCGTGCGGACTTTATTGTAAGCATGGAAAGGATAGTAGAAAATATATGACGTCTACACAATAATAACGTCCGAAATGTCCACATATGAAAATATCTGATCAAATTAATTAAACCCAATAGTTTTGTCTGTAGACAAACTGAGCTATGAAAGTGCAAGGTGGCAGGCCGCATATCAAAAATCTCCAACAATAAGATTTGGAAAGAAAGAAAGTGGGCAGTTACAAAACTTATAACTGGACTGATTGAAGGGCGAAGAAGGGTGTTTACATGGGCTTTGGGCCATAATTATTACAGACAATCAGGCTGTAAGTAACTGTTATAATACGAATGTGTGGACAGGCCTGATTTTAGTATCAATCCCAATGTATATGAATTGGGTTCAACACTCTGACCAAAAAGACGAAAAGAAAAAAAAGAATTGGGTTCAAAACAACATTCACCAGTTCCAATCTTTACATCTTGTGCAAATCAAATCATACAATTTGCCCACTACCCATGAAAGAATTGCATCCTTTAAGCCTTCTCTAATAAGCATGGCAGATCATGAACAAAATCAGCACCAAATCAGAAATACACAGAGCACATAATGCTGCTAAATCAAACCATTCAAAAAACCAAAACTTGAATTACTCCAAAAGTGCCAAGATATGCAAGAACATTGCAGAAAACCCAATCAAATCGCCAACAGCCGACTCTGCTTGCTGAGAGGCGTCTTGCAGAGCTCAAACTGAGCAAGCAGCTCAGGATCTCTGAACCCAACAAGAAATTGGGCCAACCCTTCAAGAAACAGAGCACCCTGGTAAACGTTAGTTGCACCCATAATCTCCACAAGAACACTCTTCCTCAGCCTATTGGCGTCCACAAAAACCCCCACCATCTCCTCATTCTGCTCCGCCATCGCCTCCTCCACCGCCGCCTTGTGGGTCCCAAAAGCCCAATTCCTCGCCACGCGCTCCAAGAACCCGACCTGCGCGTCCCTAGCCCGCGCCGCCAGCGCCGGCACCATCAGCCGCAGCCCGCGCTCCACCTGCTCGACCCTCTCCATCAAATTGTACGACGGGCTCCTCCACGCTGTCGCGATGTGCCAGGGCCGGTCGAAGAGGTCCCTGTCTCCTCTGTCACTGGCGCACTGAACGACCATGCTGTCGCCGTCGTTTTCGTTGTCGGAGTCGGTGTCGTTTTGGGTGAGGAAGGAGCGGAGGAGGTTGGTGAAGAGGTAGGGGTGGAAGTCGCCGAGGAAGAGGAAGGGCTTCTCTAGAGGGTTGCGCCAGGTGGGGCAGAGGAGCTGAGCGACGTCGTTCTGGGAGGCGAGGTCGAGGGCGTCGTAGTAGGACTGGAAGTGGAGGTGGAGGGCTTCCATTTGAGTCGAGAGCCGAGTCAGGGACGAGTCAGACTCTGACATTGAGCTTCGGAGAGAAGGGAGGAGCGTGTTTTTTAGGGTGTTGAACCATTCTGCGTAGAAGTCTTTGAATTGACGAGTTGTCTTCTTCCGGCCAAAGAGACCTGCAAGATTAAGGAATTGGGTTAATTGAAAATGGAGATTAGGAGATTAATTAAGGTGGGTTTTGAGAAGATTAGAGAAATGTAAGAGTGAGATTGAGAAAATTACCTACTGCCTTGAGCATCTTTGGAGATGGGTTTTTCAGATTCTTGGTGGGAATTCTTGGTTTTTTTGGTTTCTGTTTTTGGGTTCTTGTGGGGAAGAAGAGAGGAAGAGGATGATGATTTTGATTTGGGCAAGTTTGGTGATGGGGTGGAGTTTGTGGAGGGAAAAGGGAGTTTAAAGGGTGGCTGGGTTTTGATTTTTGACAAACCAAAAACTTTATTGGGCTAAAAAAGAAAAATCTAGTATCAGCCCAAGTAAAATCTTTCCTTTTTAATAGCAAGTTAGCAACCTCAATTAAATTCGAACTAGGGAGTTTTCTATTTTGAATTTTTTTTTTTGGGGTTAATAAGTGGATAAATTTCCTAAATAATCACAATTTTTTTTTTCATGTCTTTTAAATTTTTTATTGTTTATATTTTTAAAATCCAAAACAAATATTCATGGGATAGCACTCCGCATCAAATTTCAATTCAATTATTTGAGTAGGGGATTTTACACAAATATTCATGGGTGTCTACGGTGTTCAAACCTTTGTTCACAGAAATGGAAGTGGAATAGCTCAACTAAGTGAGCCATATCCCACTGACAATTTCAATTCAATTATTTAACACTTTCACTTGGACTCTTTCTGCTGAGTTACATTAATTGTAACATACAAATTAGATTAGATTTTTAATAGATTGAATCCATTTAGCTGAAACCCAATTAAGCTTAGGGTTTCAAGTTTCTTGAGATTAGGCTCAAATAAATTTGGGGATCTAGTTTTGTGTTTAAAGAACATTAAGACTAGAACAAGTCTTTCTAGTTTGCTATTCTCACGAACTTCACTTATTATTTGCTGCCCATTTGACTTACAAGTAGACTTCCACTCCACCTAATTATCAATCTCCCAGTTTAAAATCCACAAATAAATACTTGTATTGTAAAGCGCCGAAAACAAGCCAAAATCCGCCGAAGCAGGAAACGCCGCTGTATTACCCGAGCCGTTAACTTATATCCACCTCACCGACATTGACGGGTCAAACCCCACGTACCATGCACTCATCTCATGCAGTTAAAATAAACAACCTCCTCTCTCTCTCTCTCTCTCTCTCTCTCTCTCTCTCTCTCCCGTAGACAAGACAACAACTATTTTCTCTGTCAAAACAAAATAGAACAAAAAACAGTGAAAAAATAGGGAAAAACGACAAACACAAAAACCAACTCCTTGTGGGTTTTTGTGAATGGTGTGGTGTGAAATGAGGTTCAAAAGGGAAAAGATAAAACAACCGAACACACACAGCACACTCCACCATCAAAAACCAAAACAACATTTTTACAAAAAAAATCTCACTCTAAAATATCCACCATAAATAAAATTTATAACCCATTTCCTCCAATCTCTCTCTCTCTCCTCCCCCATCTTTCTCTCTCTGCATCTCTCCATGGCCTCCAACAAGTCCACTTTACTAATCCTCTTCTTCTCCATCTCCATAACCATACAATTCCCAAGAAAAACAAGCTCAACCCAAATCCCCACCAATCCTGATCATCAGCAATCAGACTCGGACTGCACCAACCGTTGGATCCACATCAGACGGCTGCCGCCCGTCTTCAACCTCGATCTCCTCTCAAACTGCTCCGGCTACCCATTGTTCGACGACTTCTGCCCTTACTTGGCCAACCATGGCCTGGGCCAGAAAACCCACAACCTCTCCCACAGCTGGTACCGGACCGACCCGTTAATGCTGGAGCTCATTTTCCACCGTCGGATGCTCGAATACCCATGCCTCACCGCAGATCCCCAGGCCGCCGACGCCATCTACCTCCCTTACTACGCCGGCATCGACGCCCTCCGCTACCTGTACGGCCCAGATTACAACTCCAGCTCCGAGCAGGGCCTCAATCTGTTCGAGTTCTTGACCACCGACTCGCCCGAGTCGTGGAATCGGAAAATGGGTCATGACCATTTCATGGTTCTGGCCCGACCCGCTTGGGATTTCTCTCAGCCGCTGGGAAACGACCCGCCTCTTTGGGGCACTTCGTTGCTCGAATTGCCGCAGTTTTACAATGTGACGGCTTTGACGGTCGAAGCTCGCGCCTGGCCCTGGCAGGAGCACGCCGTGCCTTACCCGACGTCGTTTCATCCGCCCAATTTGTCTCTGTTGGAGAGCTGGGTGCAGAGGGCGAGGAGGTCTCGGCGCACCACGCTTATGATGTTTGCCGGCGGTGGAGGGGTTGGACGTAATCCCACCATTAGGAGGAGCATTAGAAATGAGTGTGAAAATAACACCATGAACAAAAATGTCAAAAATGTTAACAATGTGGGCATGTATGGAAGTGGTGCTGGTGGGTTTTCAAAGCTCTGTGACGTTGTAGATTGCTCTAATGGGATTTGTGAGCATGATCCCATTCGGTTCATGAGGCCGATGTTGCAGGCAAGTTTTTGTTTGCAGCCTCCCGGGGACACCCCGACCAGGCGGTCCACCTTCGACAGCATTGTTGCCGGCTGCATTCCCGTGTTTTTTGAGGAATCGTCCGCTAGGGGGCAGTACCGGTGGCACCTGCCAGAGGACCAGTTCGGGGAGTTTTCGGTGTTTATAGCCAAGGAGGATGTGGTGTTCAAGGAGACAAGGATTTTGGACGTGCTTAGGAGCATACCAAGAGGGAAAGTCAGGAGAATGAGGGAGAGAGTGTTGGAGATGATACCAAGAATTATGTATAGGAAGCATGGAAGTTCAATCTGTTTGAGAGCCAAGAAAGATGCTTTTGATATTGCAATTGAAGGTGTCTTGCAGAAGATTAAATCTAAAGGTCAAGTTTTTGCTCAGTGACCTACCTGAGACTTTGCCTTTTCTTCTTGTCATTCTGTAATTGTAATTATTAATTTGTTTGTCTTTGTACTTAGTTATTAAACCAATTCTGCAGTATAAGATAAATTTGAACTCTGTTCTCTCTACTCTGGTTTCGGAAAATGTTCATTACACAAGTGAGATAACGATACAGAATTGTGACTCAAAAAACAAAAATAAATAAAATTATTGGACTGAGGAAGAAAGAATACATTTTTATTGAGGAAAGTAACAAGCAACCAAAAAAAAAAAAAAAAAAAAAAAAAAAAAAAAAAAAAAAAAAGGAAAAAAAAAGGGAAAAAACAAAAGGAGATTATGACACTGATGACACTGTCCCCCAACATCCAACAACATTTGGAATGTGAAGCAAGAATTGCAAAACTGTGCTTCATAGGATTAGGATGTTCTTTATCTTGGCAGGAGAGATGAAGTTTCAACCCCATCTGAAAATAGTAGAACCCCAAGTCAGACCTGCTCCAAAGCCGGCAGCTGCAATCGTATGGCCTGGTTTCACCTTCCCGCTTCTCACAGCTTCATCCAATGCCAAAGGAATCGAAGCAGCGCTTGTATTACCATAGTTTGCCAGATTTGAAATCACCTGTTCTGATGGGATTTGCATGCGAGAAGAAACTCCATCAAGGATCCTCTGGTTTGCCTGCATTGATTTATCTTCGTTAGAACCCATTACCCATCACCTCTGATCATTATCAGAACAATAAATACAATGTCGCTTGTTTACTCTGAAACCCTTAGGTGATTAAGAAGCTAACTTTAAGAACTATTTTCCTGCAAACTTATATTTTTTATGAAGAAAAAAACAAAGCATTATTCTCAGAATTGTACCAGTTTAATTCACTTAACATACATGACAAGCTGGTATAGTTTTGGAAATCAAGAATTATTAGGCTGATGTTACTTGCCTTAGATATGTCTATTTTCCACCCTAAAATAATTTTTCTTGAAATTCGACATGTAGTGAGAAAAATATAATAGTCAAATGATGACAAGCTGGTACAAATGATGAATTATACGCAAAGCCCCAGGTGGACTGTCCAAAGAAATCATGCTTCATACCTGATGGAGCAGTAACCAATCAATGCTAGATGCCGGGACACCAGCCTTGGCAAGGGCAGCCTCAATTGACTGTGGCACAACGCGCACAGCAAAGCGAAAGACCTCTTTGCCATTCATTTGAAGGCAGGAAAATGAGGCGCGTCTTGGAGGGAAACCTAAGACTGAACCATTAGAACCCAACTCATCTGTTTCACTTTCTTTGAAGGCAGCATTTAGATGTCTGCAGAGAGAGGGAGAGAGAGTCGAACAGTCATGTATCAGAGAGGAAAAAATGATAAGTGCCCCCGGTCATAATCAACATGAACACCTTAAGATATTGCATTCGCTAAAAAGGTCAAAAGAAAAAACAAAAACAGAAATCGAGAAAACACAAACCTGTTTCCGTCACCATCACTATGCAAATCAAAAGCAAGCAAAGAATCATCCTCACTATCGCAGGCCTACATAATTATGGCAATTTCAAATAAGTGGAATGAAATGTTTCGCAACTAGATCTCCACTAACAATTTAACTCATCAATTTTGGAAATGGCGAAATTAAGATAGTATGATATGAGTTTCTAAAAAATTGGAGACAGAATTTGCTGCCAAATAAAGCAAAGTTCAAAGTCACTAGGCGACAGGGAACCCACCACCCTTATCTAGAAAACTAGGGCACGTTAGATATGTCAAAACTTCAATAAGACACATAAACACACCTGTACTAATACAGCACCAGCAGCATCCCCAAAAAGAATACACGTTCCTCTATCGGTCCAGTCAACAAACCGAGAAAGAGCATCAGCTCCAATAACTAGAACATTTTTGAATCCACCTCCTGTAGTTTGCGCATTATAGTTTAATCAATTAAACATGAAAGTAACAGTGCCCTCCTTACAGCAAAGTAAACCAAGTCGTTACCCCTAATGTGACAAGCAGCTGATACTAGACCCATAACAAATCCGCTACAGGCAGCTGTAATATCATAAGCCAAAGGGTTCCTTTTGCAGCCAAGTGCTTTCTGAACCTGAAATTACAATATAAAACAAATTTAAGAACTTAAGAAGCTACCATATTGAATAAAACAACATAAACACTCAGACAGTAAAATTTTGTTAGTGAATTTATTAAAATTACAAGCTCAATTAGTCAATATTTAGCTGTTCTTACACTACAATGGTTTCTAACATGCAAAATAAGGTATTACTCAGTCGTTCATTCATTATATCATGTGTGATCAATATAGTTCAGTATTTGGTCAAAGGCCCATACCACGGAAAAAGCATAAAACTAAATAAGCACAATAAGCTCAATCAACAAAATAACCTACTGGAAATTTTTTTATACTAAAAGAAAATTCTATAGAAAGAAAGAAAACAAATTATAAGAGTGGATGGATAAGAATTCCATCTATACAGAGAAAACTGAAAGAAAATAAGCTAAGCCACACTTGGAAGAAACCAAACAAAGCGGATTAAAAAAAAAAACATGCCACAGTTAGTACAAAACTCCAGTCCAGTCAAGATGAATCACTAAAGGGAACTTTTCTAAAGTGCTTAGTCAAAGATGCCCATAAGGAGGCAAGGATCTACTTTGTCCCAAATAGAACCCCTATATAAAATAAGGACAGCAAAGCAGTGAACGTTTGCTTTTTTTTTTCTTTTTCTCTTTTTTTCCTCTTATAAGAAATGGTCCTTTCATTGTTCATCTTAAGATAACTTCCAAATACAAACCTAGATAAATGAAAACATTTTACCTAGAGATTTATGCACCATCAAAGCATAGATAATAAAATATAAAAGGGATCAATATTGACAAAACTATCACATAATACACCACTAAGAAGCTCAACCCCTAATTTTTTTGACCTGAATCCAGATATGGGATATACCATCCAATGATCTATATACCTGAGGAGCACTGCCAAAAAGATCATCAGGTGAAGATGTGCACATCAAGATTAGGTCCACATCATCAACATCAACTTCAGCCATCTCAAGAGCTTTAAGTGCTGCCTCTACTGCTAACGTTGTCAGGCTCTCTTTGCCTGATATTTTACAATAAGGATGTCAGTATATAGAAAGGGTACAATAAATATCCATCACACCTAGACATGAGGACCAGAAAAGAGACACATAGTTGTATAAAATATGAGTTGAGATAAAAGGTAAAAACATTAGAATATCCAGCACAACCACAAGAAAGTCCCTCTTAGCCTCTTACACATCTGACACTAGCAACATCGACCAGGTCAAATTTCCCAATATCCATATCATTTTAGCTGTCTGAATAGAATGGTGAAGCCAAGGTAACTATGTAACAGATTTGTTCAATAGGGGCAGAGAAAAAGGGTCATAAAAGCAGCTAGCTAACCAACCTAATCCCAGGTAAGCTCAGACTCATCAAGCTGAGTGGCCCATCAGATAGTTTCCTCTTGTCATGCAGTGCACATGCACTGCAAATATGAAATTATGAAGCTGAATTCCTTAAGTTAAGCTCAACGCATGCTAAGCCACCTTAAACTGTTTACAGTTACTAACTTTATGACATTATCATGCACAGCAAGTATGAACAAACCTGAAAGAATTCGTCGATTACGAATGCCAGTGCGAACAGATATCCATTCATCGTTAGTGTCTACTACTTTTGCAAGATCATCATTTGAAATCTTAAGAGAGGGTACCGCCGAGCCACATCCAATTAACTTGCAGCCTTTACTAACAAGCCTGTAATAATATATATTTTCAAGCATGGGAACAAGAGATGAAATTTAAGATCAGTCAGATTATCATTTACCAACTTGAACTCTTACTACATTTAACCAAAATGCAACCTCAGTACTAAAACACATAGAATCAGCCAAGGTCCAACTCGGTCTAATTTTTACCTAGCAAAATTATAATTCGATGTGGGAGAAAATATTAAAATCCATTTACAAAAATCAAACTTTAGTTAAAGAAAACAGATAACCAACTCATTCAGGACAGAATTCAACCAACAGACTAGGCATTTAATAAAGGGTTACAGTAATTTGGTTATATTCTACATTTAGCACCTTTTTCCAAGCCATTAAAGAAGATGGCTACTGAGCACAAAGAGAATCCAATGCGAGAAAAGAAAAAACATTAATTCGATTATAAAAGGCCACTACTGGTAACTAGATAGAAGCGAAGACTGATGGATGCATCACCAACTTATTCCTAAAGGCAATGTGAAATCCTTCAAGAAAACATGTTTTAAGGGGTTCTTAAGATAACCAGACGACAATAGGCAAGAAAAGTCTTTTTCAACTTCAGCCAGTCTACAAAAGAGAATAAACTGATATGTTAAACCTATAGTCTCTTCATGATTATTGCATTTGTTTCCCTTCCTTCATCTAAAACATTCTCCTGCTTGAAGAGATAGAGAGATAGAGAGAGAGAGAGAGAGAGAGAGAGAGAGAGGACAGATGAAGTAGCCAATGGAAGAACACTGATACAAGGGGTTCAAAAGATAACCAGACGACAATAGGCAAGAAAAGTCTTTTTCAACTTCAGCCAGTCTACAAAAGAGAATAAACTGATATGTTAAACCTTTAGTCTCTTCATGATTATTGCATTCGTTTCCCTTCCTTCATCTAAAACATTCTCCTCCTTGAAGAGAGAGAGAGAGAGAGGAGAGAGAGAGAGAGAGAGAGAGAGAAGACAGAGAGAAGACAGATGAAGTAGCCATTGGAAGAACACTGATACAAGCAACCTCAAATGACCAATATGATCCTTGTAACCTCATCCAGAAGTATCATCAAAGGGAGATCTAATAGTTTTGCCAGATACTGATGCACCTAAGCTCATGCCCACAAACTGATTTACATAAGAGAAAGACTCTTAAGTTAATTTTACCCTCAAGTTAGTCATAAACATACTTTGTTAGACAATCCCCTTAGTTGTGCCTTAATCTAAGCCTTGCACACGCATAATATATCTAGATACTTTACCTAATCTTACACTTAAATTGTTTGTCATTACTAGAAAGTCGGCTTGGTTTGTTCAAATTGATTGTAATTGGCTTAGTTGATTAAGCCTTGTAAATTCTATTTATACCTACAATGGAGATGAATAAGATCATATAATTCTCAACTTTTAAGTAACGGAAGTATCCAAAATAAACTTCACTTACTAACCAGGGAACTGATACACCTTACATTTCACAGATCATATACATTTGATCATTTCTGACTCCAAAAATTACTTCAGTAGAACCATAACCAATACTAAGCGGTTGCTGCTAGACTATTTGTTCTTGCATGCAAAAGTCAGTTTATATATGTCTAACAAACTGGCAAACGAGGTAATGTGATTTTGCATTGAACTCAGTTCTACTCCTTAGTGAAATTTAGCTCTACAAACAATTACAATTGTGTCTGAATTAAATACAACGTCCTTCCAGTTCAAGTCCAGCAGCCAGTACGAACTGTAATTGCTAACAAATTAGAGACTCATATCCAATGTCTTCACAACTCAAAGTTCACATAACCTCTTGTTCATCGCAACCCCAAAAATACTTGCATGTCTCTCTATGGGAAAGCAGGCACCATAAAATTCCAGCTCATGAGAAGCTTAAAAGTAAAGAAATAAATGAAATTTATAGAATTTGTACACCAAAAGCTTACATATATGAATTTAATCTCCATCCCTTCAAACAGAATATGCACATGCAATGTTATGTCATCCATGCCTATGAAACAATAATCATATTATCAAAACAAATCGAGCAGCACAAGTAAATCCATAAAACAAATAACTCATTGATTGAATGCACATCATAAGGCTTTCAATAAAAAAGGATCATGAATCAAAATCCATAAAGTATTCTTCAAACACAGTTCAATAATATTCTAATAGAAAATACAGCTATACCATATAATCCAACATATGAAACAATACGGGGCTAAATCAACTGGCAAAAATGGAACTGAACTCACCTGGGTGCTCTAGATTCAGAAGGGGAAGCTCCAACGTGTTTCTCTGCGCCTTCAAAGGTACTGGAGCAGAATACCCTCTTGGAGATTCCATCAGGGGAGCGAAACCCAGATCCAAAAATACGTATTGAAGGCTTAATCTTCCCCCTCACGCTTGGAACTGTAGGAGTAGTAAACAACCCAGATGCATTGGTGGCCATTTACACCCACAACTCTAAACCAAAGTAAAACTTCAGACCCACAAAGTATGCCAACCCAGAGAGATTGAAAGCCAAGAGCTTCAGCTAATATATGACACCAGAAGCATGCAATGAATGGAGTAAACGAAACCCATGAGAGGAAAAGATCAAATACGTTTGGCGGAGACAGAGAGACACGGGCTTTGAAGACCCTTCTTTCTTCGGAGGGTCCAAAGTGAGATAGAAAAGAGGAATTAAAAATAATAATAAATATGGGCGATTATGTCAAACCAAATTTGAGCAAACTCCAATGCTTCCAATTTCTCTCAATAAGTTACAAGCTGGTGCAGAGGAGAGAGAAAGACAGTCATGCCATGCCACCATGCTTTGCTTGCTCCTTTCCAAGAGATGATGTTGTTCTACAACAAATTCAATTCAATTAAATGGGTGGGTTGTTTGGAGGAAGGGGAGTAGTGAAAAGACCTCGACACAACCAAAGAAAACTGTGGCATTTATTTCCCTTTTCATTGTTTATGTGGCTCAATATGATTGGTTCATCTTTGACAATTGAATGTGTTGGAATGTAGAGAGGGACAGCTCCAAATCCACATCATGTATCATGCGTGTGTAACTTTTGGATTCTTCAAAGCATTTAACTCCTAAAGTCCCAACACCTAACTTCTCTCTGCCCCACGACATAAGTTAAAGGGTTTTTCACAGCAATGGTCTCTCAACTATACTTGTATTTGTATTTAGGTCACTGAACTCAATTATTAGTTGTAGAGGTCACCCAACTAGGTGTTTTGTTGCACCATTAGTCCCTCTATCAAACTCTGTTAAATTTTCTGTCATATATGAGAGTAAATTCGGAAATTCATCCACAACCCTCCTCTTCCTCCACAACCCTCCATTGCCACAACAGTTGCGATGAAGCTCGCTACCACAACATAACCCACACCCACCATTTCTCTACCCACTACGTCCTCTTCAACACCGACTCTTCCTCTGCTGCAGCTGCCGACTCCGAGTCCTACTCCCAAGGCAACCAGCAAGCAAACTGGCTCAAACCCAACATAGAACACAGAGCAAAGTAGCCAAAGATCCAGCTTTCTTATCCAAGCAGACATAAAACAAGGCATAGATCACAGTGAAAACAAACCCAAAATGCAACAGAAACCCATGACTGAGCCCAACTGAGAAAGTGTACAGAGAAGGTGTGAAGTACAAAAGAACCGGAGAGGTGAAAAATATCGGCCACACAAACACAGTGTGTATCAAAATGTTAATTGGGTTGTTGTGGTATGCGCCATAGAAGGCGAAGTGCCTTTCAAGATCAAGAGACTAATAGCACATCTAAAGCTTTGAACTTTCCTTGATTGGGTTATAGTTCCTCCATTCGTCAAACACCACGAGACTGGTTTGTTGGTAGAATGCAAAGACTTCATAATCCTTCCTCCATTCATTGGGTTGCGGCAATGGAGGATTGTGGAGGAAAGGGAGGGTTGTGGGTGAATTTTCAAATTTACCCTTATTTTTAACGGAAAAAGTCACCTACTTGACGGAAGGACTAATGGTGCAACAAAACACCTAGTTGAGTGACCTCTGCAACTAATAATTGAGTTCAGTGACCCAAATGTAACTAGGGGTATAGTTGAGGGACCATTGCTGCGAAAAACCCTAAGTTAAAACTAGTTTCTCAAACAATACAAAAAACCAATTTGTTTAGCTACTTCGAGATTACATATTATGAGAGTTCAATTAGGACTTAATCTCAAGTTTAATTTGTAGCTTAATTTGGGGATTAAATTAGTTGCAAGAGATTTCACTCAAGAAACAAAAGAGTTAGCTTAGAGATCAAGCCCGCCCCATTTTTCAAATCCTAGCTCCGTCCGTGTTAGTGATAATAATATTATTATAATTCGAGTGAATTACACTAACCTCTAAATAAGGTTTAAGGACCAATAAAGTTGGCGACCAGGTGTTTTACATGCATCATTTAAACATATCAATATGATTTATATTATATCAAAGTGTGATTTCTTTTAGTTGAATGTTAATTTGGATAGATCAAGAGAGTCCAAGGGGACCAAGACCTGTGTGAAAGGTGAACCATTGTTTCCATTTACAAGCAAGATAACGTATTACTTCACGAAATGTGTTGATTATGTGTTGGTAGGTTGATTGTTTTCAAATTTCAATTGTTATATAGGTTTTTTAGTTATGACTTTTGAAGTAAACTAGGATGATATATATATACATATGTCGCCCATAGAAATTTAAGGAGAATGGGAATTCAAATTTAAATTGTCTTCCAACATTGAGAAAAAAAAAAATATAAAAAAAGGTTATCAATTAGAAATTAAAATATTTTTGCTACAGATAGAGAGAAACTATATGAGGTAAATGAGAGACGAACAAGGATCGAGGAAAGAGAGAACGAATGAAGTAGAAACATAGACTTTGAAAAGAAAATTAACTAAAATTCTTCTCAACTTTTGCGTTTCATTTCATGTATGAGTCATATATATATTTTTAAGTTTCTTCAATTCAATGGGAGTGGACTCTTTCAACTTTTCTCTTTGTTCTTTCTCATCTTTTTAGGTTTGCACCCCCTCTGTTTGAGAATGTCCTCACCCTCTGTTGATGATTTTGCTTGGGCTTTATGCTCATTTGTGGAGGTTCTTATTCTCCTTTGTACCTACCCACTATTGTTTTCCTCTTTTTGCCCCATCTCTTATTCCTTTCCATGTTCCTCTCACTTGTAGATTCTACATCATTTGTTGTTCATACCTTAAATCTCATTTTTAAAGATCATACACAAAAATTTGAGTGTCTTACAAATATTTATAAAACTCGAAAGTCAATTGTCAAATTTTTTCTAAACCACACATGCTTTGACAATTTTGAAGAGTGTGTCACATTTGGAGTTATTGAAAGTAGCTAAAACAAGATTTGCTTCAAATTATATCTTGTTAAAAAGACTAAGGGGGGTGTATTCAATTAGGATTTTAATAGATTGTAATCACATGATTTTAAGGCAATGGATTTCAACAGGATTTGTAATTACAAGATTTTACTTATGATTTTAATAGATTGTAATTACATGATTTACTTAGGACTTTTTTATATTCTCCAAAGAATCAAAAGATTTGCTCTAGGATTTCATATGAAATAAAAATTATATAATAACATGGATTAATTGCTTGGTATGCAAACTCTTGATTATTTTTCATGTTCTAAAGGATTATTTTTCATAAACTTTCATAAATAAACTTTCATGTTGTGTAGTCTCGGTGGTTCTATGACCTCTCTTTGGTCTTTATTAATGAAAGTTCATCTTTATAAAAAATAATAAAAAATTGTAGCACAGTGGTCCTTTTCTCCCAAGGGAACTAGAAGACCCAAACACTATGCATTGAAACCAAGAAATAAAGCACCCTAACAGAAGGAAATTTCCTAGTGATGGATTTCTTCTAGTCATTCCACCGTAAACTATTTATTAGTATTATATAACAAGAAAGATAAGAAAGACTAGTTTAGATCAAAACAAATCTCTATAGTTATTTGAATAGTTATTCTCCAGTTTTAACAAAAGTAATAAAATATTATTTTATGAAATAATAAATAAATAAGAAAAATCATTCCTAAAGAATGAGGGAGTGTGCAACAAACCAAAAACACAAACTATCTTTACAGATTGGTTTCTTCTTCTGTTTGTTCCACAACAAAGCAACACAAATATACATGGATGTATGTAGGCTTGTGCCCACAGCAAAGCAACATAGACAATGCAAATAGAGACAAAAAAAAAAAGTATGATAGTATATAGGAGAACAAGTATGTGAAGAGAAAAGATGAGAACCCTCTTCACTCCTCTTCACTTCTCAAGTCTGTTCTTCTCCCCCTAAAACAAATCAACATGAGAATCAGATGTAATAGGGTGTGATTTTTTATGGGGTTTGGTATTTATATCATCCACTGAAAAGTCTTATAGAATACATCATTTAATGAAATACCTCAAAATCGGTAAGTTTTTGAATACCACCGTACTTTTTCTAATATTTTGAAAGTCCTAATTGAATACCACCAGACTTGCATTGATGATTTTAAAATCATAATTGAATACCATCAGATTTTTATTGATTACTTAAAAATCATAATTGAATATCACTAGACTTTTAAGCTTCAAAAAAATCTATTAAAATCCTAATTCAATACACCCCCCTAATTGATTGTAGAGAAGCAACACAACTACTATTATTCAAAGAGCATGGAAAGATTTGTTAAAAAATTTAGATGAAGGCAAAAGGAATTTAGCTACTTTGTTTCAAAATACCGTGCAAGATGATAATTTTTGAGAACATATTAAGGCAATATTAGATTTCACAAAGTCAATTTATCTTGCAGTAAAATTTGCTGATGGTGATGGCCAAAACATGGGTGAAATTTATGAAAAGATGGACAATATGCTTGGCGAAATAAAAGATATTATGGCAAGTGAAATATATACCGAATATTTTCCTAATGTTGAAGAACTTGTGCTTTGTAGGTGGGAAAAAATGAATATTCTCATGTACTGCCTTGCATTTGCCCTAACATTGAGGTTTTATGATAAAGTTTATTTATTTAAGTCAAATAACACTAGGGGTGTGGCTAGAAAAAGCCTTAATGAAGACATAGAAGTCATGGAAAATGTTGTGAAAGCCTTTGATACGATATCAGAAAGTAAAGGTGAGGCTTGTTTGCTACGAGAACAATTCGCTCGCTTCCATCAACAAAAAGTTTTTATGGTTCACTACAGGCCCAAGCATGTTGTGGTTATGGATCCCATTGATTAGTGGTCAACATATGGTGCAAAAACATCAAAATTAGCAGAGGTGGCTAAAAAGGTATAAATTTAATTTCAATATTTTTCAATATTATTTGTATATATAGTTTTACAAATGACAAAGGTGTTGGCTCAACCGATACAAAGTTCATCGGCCGAAAGAATTTGGAGCACGTATTCGTAAATCCATAATATTAATAGAAACATACTGAATTTGCAAGAGCTAATCAATTGGTTTATATCCATTCCAATATCCATCTCCAATTATGTTTTAGTGAGAGCTACAAAGATGAGCCTTTCAAGGAATGAGATATTGATCAAGAGTCCCATTTTTTAGATGACAAAAATTGGAGGAAATGAGATGGAAAGGCTTGGAGGGCGATTATACAAGTGTTCCTGGCCAAACATCATCCTCACAATCTCCAATGCCCAGTCAATTTGCTCTTGGAGGGAGCTCAGGCTCAAGGACTAATGCAAAAGCAAAGGGAAAACAACTCGTTACCCAAAGTTGCTATTTTTATGTTTAAGTATTTTCATTTTCCATTTGTTTGATTTGAAGTTTGAAGTTTTGAACAATAAAATTAATCTTTTGTTTATGCCAGCAAATTTTAATTATGAACTTATTTATTTATTTTATGAATAAGTGGTTATTTATTTTAAATGTTCAATGTATTGAAAGAATATTGAAAGACCACCCAACCTCTAGTACGTTGCCCCATACTCCATTTAATAAGGGTTTTTAACACAAATGATCTTTGAGTTTACGAAATTATCACATTTGTTTATTTATTTCTTTTTTTGTGACATCATTGGTCCTCTATATTACCTCACACATCAATTTAGCCCCGTCGTGAGATTTTGTTAAATTTTTTTGTTAAAATGCTGATGTGGCACATATAAAATCTTTTAAAAAAATTTAATAGGAGAAAAAAACTCAGCTCCTCCCTCCACCTCTCTCCCCTTCCGTCTCCCCCTCCCCATGCTTCCCATTTCCCTTCTACCTCTCTCTCTCTCTCTGTGAACCAAAAGCAACCACTCAGCCCCACCCAACCCTAGACCCACCGCTGCACCCAAATACTCCAAAATTTTATTTTATTTTTCTTTACTTCACAGAGTGATTTATAGGCAGAGAGATAAATCAAAAAGAGAGGGGGAGAAGGACAGAGATGAGAGAGAGAGAGAGAGAGAGAGAGAGAGAGAGCAAAGGGAGTGACATGGGGAAGGGGAGTTGTATTTGAGTTTTTTATATTTTATTTTTAAGGTTTAAATTTAGTTTTTTCATTTTCGAAACATATTTTTTTATTCAAATCCAGGTGGCATTTTATTATTGGATATGTGGGCTCCGAATACATACCATGTCATTAATTTAACAAATTTTTTGACAAAATTTAACGGTATGACCAAATTGATATATAAAATGTAACATAAATAACAAATAATGTCAAAAAAACGCAAAAAGTACCAAAATTGATAATTTGACAAACCTCAGTAACCATTTGTGATAAAAACCCTTTAATAAAAAACAAAATTTCCCCCCTTAGCCTCTCCGTTTATCACCCACCCGACCTAACCTCTTCGAATCCAATCGTCCAAAAAAATCTCTCCGAACCTAAAATCTTCCCCTTATGCCAAGAGCAAGAATCAAACTTGGGCTCATTAGTTATAGCACTCTCTCTCGTGTGCTTTGTCCATGGCTTTCTCCAGCGATACTCTCCCTCAATTGCTCGTCTGCTGTCGGCGGCCAGGTACTGTTCTCTCCTTTAGAACTGAGTCGTTAAATCTTTCGTTCCAGATCGAAATTCGTAGGGGGTGAGCGAATTAGGCAACTAAACCTTTAATGTACCCGAATGAATGCCTTAATAATGTTAATGGGATAAGTTAGGCTTAAGAAATATAGAATTATAACTCCATCAATTAATCTAGAAAGAAAAAAGCAATGAAAAAGTTAACTACTTGAAAAAACTGAATAAATTTTAAGTTACTTAAACCTGGTTATATGCTAGGGGCACTGTTGTATTCATTTCTTAATCAAAATTAAGTTTATCCCCTTTCATCAGTTTTTTTTAGTACAAGCAATAGTCTAAATTACAAGAGAGCGGGTTTGAACTTGAGACCTTTGGTCTGCAAGTCAAGGCCCTTTTCCACTTGGCTAGACCCGTTGGCTTTCGTCAGCTTTTAAGACAATTGAATCTAGCTGTTTCACAAAAGTGTTGGAGGTTTTAATTAGATATTAACGGATGTCTCTAATATAATGTTATCTCCTCCAGGTTGGCCGATTAACTCAGCTTGGGGTTATCAGGGCCCAAATTCTGAATTCTACTTACAGTACAGTGGTGCAAGCTCAAATATCTAACCAAAGAACTGCTACAGCGATGGTTTCATTGGAGGTATCTTAGAGCTATTTATCAAAGTGCTTGTGTACATGCATTGGCAATGTGATATAACCTTTTCGTCATCCCATGCCTGAAACTTAAGTTGACAAAATTTATTCTAGTCCCTAATGAATAACAAAACTGTGACGTTGTTTGGCAAAATTTCTAGAATTGAACAAAATGTACTGTCAGTGTTGTCTCTTGCATCTAACGTTTGTGAAGTTGTAGTAAGGATGACATACCTCCCCTGTGGGCAGTCTTTGATGGGTTTCTGTTATTTTCTTTTTGCCTGGGATGTTCATTTACTGGTTGGCTAATTCATCTATAATGGTCTAGGATCAACACAACCACCAAAGCAGTTACTATCCAGAGAAAAATGCTGGTGGCGAGAAAAGGGGCCAAATTGGATGGAATGTTTCTAGAAAGGATAAAGTTGACTTTCTTGTAAGAACTGTAAGTACACATATCTCAAGCTTTCTTTTTTAATCGCAGTCGAATTATTAATAGAGTGAAAATTTGTGGATGTTAATTTTTGTAGCAAGCTGATAATGGATTAAATAACCCCACTTTTGCAGCTTCTTGATCTCAATGACAGTAAGGAGGCTGTTTATGGTACTCTTGATGGATGGGTTGCTTGGGAGCAAGACTTTCCCATTGGAAAAATTAGGATGGCATTGACTTCTCTTGAGAAGGAACAGCAGTGGCATAGAATTGTTCAGGTACAATCAATTCTTTGTCTTTCACCACGGCTTAAAAACCTGGAGGACACTTAAAAATAGAAAGTACTCAATCTGGGAATACTTTTCTTTAAAGTAGTATTTTAATTTGAAGCAGAATAATGTGATGTAATAATCCTTGAGGAGATTTTATTTTATGCACTTATGTCTGTTTTGGCTTAGACTTCTCCATCATTATCAAAATTCTTGCAATCCTTTGTAGCAAAGAAACTTCTTTAAATCATGGGAAAGAACCAACTATGAGAAGAGGATTTGCAATTTTTTTTGGGAGTGCATGAGTATTTGGGGAAACTACTTTTTCCAACAAGAGAGATTTGAAAACATAATTATCTAATAATTTGTGGCGACTAGGAAATTTTGAGTATGTAATTATTTTTAACTTTCGCTTGACCCTGGAAAGAATGAGTGAGGCCTATTCATTATTTTCTTTTGTGATCTGTAAACCATGGTTTTCTTTAACTCATCTAGGTAATTAAATGGATGCTGAGCAAGGGACAGGGAAACACAATGGGAACATATGGGCAACTAATACGAGCTTTAGATATGGACCAAAGACCAGAAGAAGCACACAAGTTTTGGAACAAGAAGATTGGCATTGATCTGCATTCAGTTCCATGGCAGTTATGCAAAAGTATGATTGGTATATACTACCGAAACAACATGTTGGAGAGTCTTGTAAAGGTATGGCTTATATCGTTCATACTTAGATTTGCAGTTTTCTACGATAGGTTGATGTTTGGCCCTAAATTTTTTTTTTGCTCGAATTACTTTATATATTCTGGTAGCCTAACCTTTTGTAATCATGCTTGTATTCTGTAGCTTTTTGAGGGCCTGGAAGCTTTTGATCGCAAACCTCCCGTGAAATCAATAGTCCAGAGAGTGGCAGATGCATATGAGATGTTAGGCAGGATTGAAGAAAAAGAAAGGGTGTTGCAGAAGTACAACCATCTTTTCACAGAAAATGCATCACTCAAGAAATCTAGAGAGGCCTCGGCTAAGAAAAAGAAGAAACTTGGTTAGAATAGAACTTCTGATTAATGATTTAAACTAGTCGGTCAATCACTACGACAAATGAATACTTCTGTATATGCGTTTTTGATATCTAGTGGGAAGGCAAACAAAATTGTATAAACATTTTGAGAATTAGGGCGTTTGAGCCTCTGTTGGTATATGTTGTTCCATGATTTTATTTCTGTTCAACCAATCTGAACTAGTTACCCAGTTTTAGTTCGTTTGGTTTGATTTTTCACTTTTTATTGTATCCAATGTTGTCTTGATTTGAAATTTTTTTAGATCAATATGACTGGCTATCTTTGATCATGTAGCGAGGAGTTGTGAAATCCAATTCAAAATGCATCAGAAGATGGAAAATTCAGAACTGAGCCTAAATTGTTTTGTATTATTTGGATTCTTTGAACCCAAACTTAAATTGCACTTGATGGGGGGCTGCTCCAAGTTTCTTTAAATTTCTTCTCCAAGTATCCCATGGAACAAATAAAGAAACCAACTTAAATTTTATTCATCCATCTTTAACTCATCATTCGAAATCTTATTTTGGGACAACATCATTCAAGTCAAAGATCATAAACTTTTGTGAGTTGAACCTAAACCTTGTAGGGGGGGAAACAATAACAAGGTTAGGAACAGACACACTTTATAAACTCAAATCATTTTTTGGTGACTCCATTTAAGGTGTATTTCTTGAAGTCCTCATGAGCTTGCAGTACTAAACGGTCATCTTCCCACTCATCCCGATAAGTCTCTGGTCGGGCATGCTTATTCTTTGAAACTTCCAAGTACATTATCTTTCTCCATTATTCAGAGACTGGACACCCACACTGAACTGCAAGCCAGTCGTTATATTCAAACTGCAAACACAACACTGAATTATTTAATCTGTTCATGACACATATAAAGATACCAGTACATAGACTGGAACAGTGGATGCCAAAAAGGTTAAAAGGCATTGAATGGTGACTGAAAAAAACACACATTAATCAGCTTTTCAAAAGAGTAACCTCTCAGGTTGTCAAGATTGAGTGTGAAAAATGAGACATCCTATACAATGGAAGCTACTGATTTGGGATGCAAATAACAGTGAACATCTTGATGTTTCAATATATCATATACGAGGCAACGATAACAATTACTCCGAATCCAATGCTCTTAACTAATTCTGATTAATGAACAGCTGGTACGGTCATGCAACGATATTAATTGAATTTACCTGACAATCCCCCAAGTTATGAGTGTATCGTTTAGGAATGCCAGAAGCTTCAAGTAACGAGTAGAAAGCTTTGATATCCTCCATCATTTCTTCTTTGGATGGAAGTGCAATTCAATTAGACAAAAGACCTGCTATCCATTTGCTCTGAAGTTCAAACTGTGGGAAAGGAACAACCTGCCACCACAATATTCAAAGATACACTCCAACCATCAAAAGAATGAACCAAATATGGCATATGATTTAAAGTGGAGAAACACCTTCCATGGTAACCCAACAAAGGAAAGTGAAGGAGCCAATGCTGGCGGGAAGACATGCTTGTACAGTGGCCCCACACGGTTGTCATCTACAGTCACAATGCCATTGGTTTCAAGAAAAGGGAAATGATACTTGTACCTTGAAAAAGGAAAAAGATCCATTCATATTCCATTTTTCTTGCACTTTCAATTCAATTACTTCATATTCAATATGGAACATGACATAATAACATCAATTCCTAAAACAAGCCAAAGCAAGTTATACCCTGTGCAGTGAAGAATGATGTCAGCAATGACAACACTCCCATCTTGGAAAGCAACACTTCCATCATCATGGGCACTTTTGATCTGCAACGGTTTAAATTATATCAAAACTTAGGATCTACCTATCTTCTAGCATCAGGGTCAAAGACAATTCCCTTGATGAACTTTTCATCATATCGCCACCCAATTCTTACCATGGGTGAGTTCTTTTACCATAGAATGAAGCCACATGTTATCATAGCCAGGCTCAGGCTGCTTTCCAATGGCTTCATCAGCAACAGATCTTGATGCAATGTGGGCTTCTTTGGCAACTCCAGCTAGTTCTCGAGAAATATCAGCAGAACTAGCTGCACCCCCTATTAATATTACAACCTATGCAAAGCAGGAAGTAGATAAGAGAAGCTAACCAGTAAGAATTAAAATAATCTACCCAACCGTGTCCTGCTTCATTTTCAACAGAATGCAGAAAGTGGGACAAACCTGATCTCGAAATGGTTCTGGATTGCGGTAAATACTGGCATGTTTAAAAGTTGTAAGCTGTGTGCGGGACGAGTTATTGTCTATCGTTGGCCCCCAGTAGAATTATTCGGGGCCTGAAAGGCGGTAATTTACTTTGTGGTGGACGTCGGCAGTTGAGTGCTTTGGGATTTGTTTTGGTAGCACAAAGAAAAATAAAATTGGAACATCAACTTCCATTTCAAGCATGAATTTATTAATCAATGATTCAGATTAATTAAGACCGCAAACCCTTCTGACGAAAAAAAATTACATACATTTGTTATTCGAACCAGACCCCAAACCCTTCTGACCAAAAAAATAAATTTACCAACCACTTAAACATCCCCTTACTGAGGGACAGGAACACATCAAGATTTCCTGGGATATTTAAGATGAACTTCAAAATAAACATGGTGGTCGGTTGTTTCACCTTGAACTGGGCGGGACATCATTTGATGTCACGTATCCATTTTCAACTCAATTTAAGGTGTATTTTCTGAAGTCCTCATGAGCTTGCAATACTAAATGGTGATCTTCCCACTCGTCCCGGCATGTCTGTGGTCGCGCAAACAAGTTCTCTGTAGCTACAAAGTACATTTGCTTTCTCCATTCTTCAAAGGCTGGACAGCCACACTCAGCTGCAAGCCAATCCTCGTATCCAGGCTGCAGAATAACAACACTTCAATATTTATCTCGTTCATCATAAGCAAGCACAAGTATGAAGATTAGTAAAATTTATGGTGAGAGGAAAAAGATGATGATAATAACCATAAAGAGAACCATCAGCAGCAAATATCATATTATTCTTACCATTCGTATTTTCATTTATATCCAAAATGAGTATACATGCAGATTTAATTAGTGCAACTGAAGGCTCCCAACAGACTAGAGAGAGATGAAACGGCATTCTGTCCACGGCCAAGAATCACATCACTTGGTTCTTAAAGACCTAATATATGATGTTTAGACATGATATGTGTGCTTAAATTATCTTAAGTTCATCATGTGGGGATCCAGTCAAGGATATCTGAAACAAGACTTCGTTTAGCAATTACACTGTAGCCAGTGCACTCAACCACTGATGACGAATGAATTTGTGCTATGGTCATATGGGTTGAGACTAACTAACAACATAGGCAGTCAATCAAAGAATGTGAATTTACCTGATAATCAGCAATGTTATGAGTGTATCTCTTGGGGGTGCCAGAAGCTTCGAGTAAAGAGTAGAAAGCTTTGACGTCCTCCATCATCTCCTCTTGTGATGGAAGTGCGATTCGGTTAGACAAAATACCTGCTACCCACTTGCTTTGAAATTCAAACATGGGGAAAAGAGCACCCTGGCACGGAGATATTCAAAGATTTACTTCAACCATAAAAAAACAATGAACCAAAAGATGCAACAAAAAATATGGCATTTATTATAAAGAAGAGAAATACCTTCCATGGTAACCCAACAAAGGAAAGTGACGGAGCCAAATCGGGTGGGAAGACATGCTTGTACAGAGGCCCAACACGGTTGTCATCCACAGTCACGATGCCATTGGTCTCAAGGAAAGGGAAATGAAATTTGTACCTTGAAATAGGAAAAAAAGGATTTCAATTTTGTGGCACTTTCCATTACTTGACAGTCAATATGCAACACTACAACATAGCATGAAGTCCAAAACAAGCCAAAGCAAGTATACCCTGTGCAGTGAAGAATGACATCCGCAAGGACAACACTCCCATTTCGGAATACAACACTACCATCTTCCTGGACACTTTTGATCTGCATTGGTTTAAAATTTAAAAATTATCAGTACTTTGGATCAACCATCCTTTGAGCATCAGGCTCAAACAAAGTTGAACATTCTCTGGATGAACTTCCCATCAAAGCCACCCAATTCTTAGCCATGGCTGAAGTCTTTTACCATAGAATGAAGCCACATGTTATTATAGACCGGCTGCTTTTCAATGGTTTCATCAGCAACAGATCTAGATGCAACGTGGACTTCTTTTGCAACTCCAGCTATGTCTCGCGAAATATCAATAGCACTAGTGGCGCTCCCTATCAAAATTACTACCTATGCAAAGCAAGAAATGGATAAAATAAGCTACATACTACATAGAGTAAAAAGAAAACAAGAACACAAGTAGGTTATAAATTCCTTTAGGATGCAGAAAGTGGCAACACAGACCTGATCTCGAAATGGCTCAGGGGTACGATAATTGTGGCTGTGGATTTGCTTCCCTTTCCATGTATTGATGCCTGAAAAACAGTGTACATTGCATAAAGCAGAAGAAGAAAAGTAAAAACCAAAACACAAGCCTGAACTCAGCATTAAGAAAAATATCTCATTCCATAAATTTTAGCTGAGTAAGTTCAACTCTGTAACCTCAAAAGTTCCTTTTATGAAGATCTTCTCAAATTGCACTATACCAAAAGTAATTTTCTTCCTTCAACCAATACAATTGTACACTCACACAAGGCAGAATCAATCAGGTACCTAAACCAATATTAAAGGTCCAAACTTCGTGCCTTAAATAAATAAAAAAGATCCGAAGGATCACAACCCAATTCGATTCATATTCCTCATGAACAAATCTCAAAGAACCCAATACAAAGTTCAGAGCTTTAGCAACGATATTGATACCTGGAATTTGGGCAACACAGGGCTCAGTATGATGCCCATTACACACAACCACAGCATCAAAAATCTCATCCTCCACAACCTCACCTCTCTTACTCTTGGACTTCACCTTCCACTTGCCACCCTCCACCAAACCAACAAACACCACCTCAGTCTCGAACCGCACAATCTCAGAGACCCCAAACTCAATCGCAAAGTCCTTCAAATACATCAACACCTCTCTGTGACCCGGATACCTTCTGGGGTCTCTCTCTTCATCTTCTTCTATGGCCACAAATGGGTAGTCCCGGAACCCCATGGCCTCTCTTGGGAGGTTGGTCCTGAGCGACTGGTACATGCTCGAGTGGACCCTGGTCCGATTCGGGTCGAGCCCAATTGGGTCGGACTCCACATTCGGAGTGTAGACCCAAGTACCGCCTACTTGGTCTCCTCGCTCGAAGACTACGACTTTGTGACCCTCTCTCCGGAGCTCACGTGCGGCGACCAGGCCGCCCGCTCCGGCGCCGATCACTGCCACGTGACGAGAGGCCGGTTGGTGGTGTGTGGGTTGCATTGGATTTGGCGTTACGGTTCTGAAGTGTAGACAATGTGGAGGATTTAAATAATAAAAATGGAAAATTCATTTTTACCACTAAACAAAATAGTGTGAGATTGGAAACTAAGACTGCGTCTGCTGGTTTTGGCGACATTGCTGTCTCATTTGTTAGCTTACGAAGGATGTGCGTCGAGTCATTTCCGGTGGGCGGTGGGCGGCGGCAACTAAACCAGTAAACAGACTATTACTATCTTCTGTTGCAATGACGTAATAATTTGGGGGCGGGTAAAAAACTGCAGCTCTATTTTTTATTTTATTCAATGGGTCATATTGTTTTATTGATAGAAGGGAAATAATAAGTAAAAAAAAATCTGACTATATTCTAGAGAATTAGGCATTATTTTGCTTATTAATAGAGCCTTTCTACAAGTAAGGATTTAATTATTGGACTAAATGAGTAGCTTACTCTCTCACCTGCAAGCAGAAGAGAAAACCTTCCCCTTAAAAACTACAGTACTATTCAATTAGTGTATTTTTACATATTGGTTAATTTTTACACATCAATATGCGATAATACAAGAATTTAAACTAGGATGCAAACAACTCAATTTAGTTTCATTTCACATATTAACGTCTAAAAAATATGACCCACTTAATACTTTGAGTTCTTTCAAATGTAATTTCTTTCTCTATTTTCAATTTTTTTTCCTCTTATAGGCTTCTGCTTTCAGTTGCTGAATTGCTGTTTGGTGGGGTCAATCTTTTTTAAAGGTTACACTTTGTCCCTGCCTCTAACATTTGGGTTTTGGATGGTTTTTCTATCCTTTGTACTATTTTATGGTGCTTCTATTTTATAGAAGCAGATACTCAAAATAAAAATAAAAAATAAAAAAACCTAGAAATCAACAAACCCTTGAAATTTGACGTCATTCTTTCTTACTCAAGTTCTTTTTTTATTTGGTGGTGTGCGGTATGTTTTCTGAAAGTCGCGGGGAACTTTGAAATTGAGTCGGCCGACTCAGCACATTGATTTAACAAATATTCTTATGTTGGACTGTGAGATTGAGAGTCAAATTGGACAAGGAGAAGTTGGACCTGGAAGTTTTTTGGGAGATGAGGACAACCTACATGTGGAAATTGAAGGATTGCGATTATGTCCAACTATATAAATGAAAGTTTTGATTTTCTTCCTCTTTCTTTCTTTCTATTTTGAAACAATGCCGTGGACATCAAGCATTTTTTATTTTTGCTGTGTTGAATTCCTATCTCAGGGAAATTTATAAAGGGAAATCTCAATGATATATGGAAAGATATTCTCATCCTTGTGGTAGATTAGGTAAATCATACTTTGTTAAAAGGTTTATATTCTCATGAATAGTCTCTATGTCTACGTGTAATTAACAACAATGATTTTGCTGAATAATAGTAACAATCGACACGATTTTTGTGTCGTTTTTTGCATATGTACAACATCAAACTCTTAATTCTCAAAATTTATTAAACAAAAAATTTTAAGTCACATAACCACAATTAAACAAGATTACAAGCAGTGGCAGAGGGAGCTAGCTAAGGCCTAGGGTGGGCATATGCCCCATCCCAAATCTTCATTAGGATATTGTCTTATTAATACAATTGTACGTTTCTTAACCAAATTTTAAAGTGCCCCTTTCTTTCTTTGTATTTTTCTTCTTTTCCTTTCTCACTATCATTATTTTCTTTTGTGATCTATAAACCATGGTTTTCTTTAACTCATCTAGGTAATTAAATGGATGCTAAGCAAGGGACAGGGAAACACAATGGGATCATATGGGCAACTAATACGAGCTTTAGATATGGACCATAGACCAGAAGAAGCACACAAGTTTTGGCATTGATCTGCATTCAGTTCCGTGGCAGTTATGCAAAAGTATGATAGCTATATATTACCGAAACAACATGTTGGAGAGTCTCGTAAAGGTATGGCTTATAACATTCATACTTAGATATGCAGTTTTCTATGATAGGATGATGTTTGGCCCATTTAACTACTTTATATATTCTGCTAGCCTAACCTGTTGTAATCATGCTTGTATTCGGTAGCTTTTTGAGGGCCTGGAAGCTTTTGATCGCAAGCCTCCCGTGAAATCAATAGTCCAGAGTGTGGCAGATGCATATGAGATGTTAGGCAGGATTGAAGAAAAAGAAAGGGTCTTGCAGAAGTACAACCATCTTTTCACAGAAAATGCATCACTCAAGAAATCTAGAGAGGCCTCGGCTAAGAAAAAGAAGAAACTTGGTTAGAATAGAACTTCTGATTAATGATTTAAACTAGTCGGTCAATCACTACGACAAATGAATGTTTCTGTATATGCGTTTTTGATATCTAGTGGGAAGGCAAACAAAATTGTATAAATTGTGAAGTGAAATATCCTTTTGAGAATTATGGCGTTTGAGTCTCTGTTGGGTTGTTCCATGATTTTGTTTCTGTTCAACCAATCTGAACTAGTTACCCAGTTTTAGTTTATTTGGTTTGATTTTTATTGTATCCAATGTTGTCTTGATTTGAATTGTTTTTTAGATCAGTATGACTGGTTATCTTTGATCATGTAGCGGGGAGTTGTGAAATCCAATTCAAAATGCATCAGAAGATGGAAAATTCAGAACTGAGCCCAAATTGATTTGTATTATTTGGATTATTTGAACCCAAACTTAAAATGCACTTGATGGGGGGCTGCTCCAATTTTCTTTAAATTTCTTCTCCAAGTATCCCATGGAACAAATAAAGAAACCAACTTAAATTTTATTCATCCATCTTTAACTCATCATTTAAAATCTTATTTTGGGACATCATTTAAGTTAAAGATTATAAACTGTTGTGTGTTGAACCCAAACCTTGTAGGGGGGAAACAACCACAAGGTTAGAACAGACACACTTCAAAGATTATAATCATTTTTTGGTAACTCCATTTAAGGTGTATTTCTTGAAGTCCTCATGAGCTTGCAGTACTAAATGGTCATCTTCCCACTCATCCCGATAAGTCTCTGGTCGGGCATGCCTATTCTTTGAAACTTCCAAGTACATTTTCTTTCTCCATTCTTCGGAGACTGGACACCCACAAAGAGCTGCAAGCCAGTCGTTATATTCGAACTGCAAACACAACACTCAATTATTTAATCTGTTCAAGACATATATAAAGATACCAGTACATATACTGGAACAGTGGATGCCTAAAAGGTTAAAAGGCATTGAATGGTGACTGAAAAAAACACACATTAAGCAGCTTTTCAAAGGAGTAACCTCTCAGGTTGTCAAGATTGAGTGTGAAAAATGAGACATGCTATACAATGGAAGCTACTGATTTGGGATGCAAATAACAGTGAACATATTGATGTTTTAATATGTCATATACGAGGCAACAATAACAATTACTCCGAATCCAATGCTCTTAACTAATTCTGATTAATGAACAGCTGGTAAGGTCATGCAACAATAGAAATTGAATTTACCTGACAATCCCCCAAGTTATGAGTGTATCGTTTAGGAATGCCAGAAGCTTCAAGTAATGAGTAGAAAGCTTTGATATCCTCCATCATTTCTTCTTTCGATGGAAGTGCAATTCGATTAGACAAAAGACCTGCTATCCACTTGCTCTGAAGTTCAAACTGTGGGAAAGGAACAACCTGCCACCACAATATTCAAAGATTTACTCCAACCATCAAAAGAATGAACCAAATATGGCATATGATTTAAAGTGGAGAAACACCTTCCATGGTAACCCAACAAAGGAAAGTGAAGGAGCCAATGCTGGAGGGAAGACATGCTTGTACAGTGGCCCCACACGGTTGTCATCTACAGTCACAATGCCATTGGTTTCAAGAAAAGGGAAATCATACTTGTACCTTGGAAAAGGAAAAAGATTACCATTCATATTCCATTTTTCTAGCACTTTCAATTCAATTACTTCACATTCAATATGGAACATTACATAATAACATCAACTCCTAAAACAAGCCAAAGCAAGTTATACCCCGTGCAGTGAAGAATGATGTCAGCAATGACAACACTCCCATCTTGGAAAGCAACACTTCCATCGTCATGGGCACTTTTGATCTGCAGCAGTTTAAATTATATCAAAACTTAGGATCTACCTATCTTCTACCATCAGGGTCAAAGATAATTCCCTTGATGAACTTTTCACCATATGGCCACCCAATTCTTACCATGGGTGAGTTCTTTTACCACAGAATGAAGCCACATGTTATCATAGCTAGGCTGCTTTCCAATGGCTTCATCAGCAACAGATCTTGATGCAATGTGGACTTCTTTGGCAACTCCAGCAAGTTCTCGAGAAATATCAGCAGAACTAGCTGCACCCCCTATTAAAATTACAACCTATGCAAAGCAGGAAGTAGATAAGAGAAGCTAACCAGTAAGAATTAAAATAATCTACCCTACTGTGTCCTTCTTCATTAGAAGAACACAATCTAGAAGTTTCTACAGAATGCAGAAAGTGGGACAAACCTGATCTCGAAATGGTTCTGGATTGCGGTAATTATGGCTGTGAAATTGCTTTCCTTTCCATGTATTGATACCTGAAAAGTATGTAATGGCATTAAGGCGAGGGAGAAAAAGTGAGAACCAACTTTACTTTTGTTATGCCTTCAAATTGCATTACATAAGCATGAATTCAGAAAGAAAAAAGTCTGGATGAGCTTCATTAGTACTTAACTTTCCCACCATTTCACTCTAAAAAGTTAATGCTGCAATTTAAGTTGGCATCCTCAAAAGCTCCTTTCTTGAAAAGCTTCTCCAATTGCAGTCTACCAAAATTAATTTACTTCCATACAATTTATACTCACACAACGCAGAACTCAATTTAAAGACAAAGATTCTTCTATACATCCCAAGCAACACAAACCCAAACCGATTCAATTTCCCATGAACAAAATCTCAAAACCAATATAGATTCAGAACTTTAGATGTTCAAATCCAGAGCATGAACGCAAACCCAAAAATCCCAAAATCCAATTATCAACATCAACCAAAAAAAAATTTTAAACTTTCTCCAGAAATGATATTCATACCTGGGATTTCAGCAATACGAGGCTCAGTATAATGCCCATTACAGACAACAACAGCATCATAAATCTCATCATGCACACCATCACCTCCCTTGCTCTTAGACTTAACCTTCCACTTGCCACCCCCCACCGAATCCACAACCATCACCTCCGTCTCGAACCTCACAATCTCAGATATCCCAAACTCGCTCGCAAAGTCCTTCAAATACCTCAACACCTCTCTGTGACCCGGAAACCTTCTCGGGTCTCTCTCTTCGTCTTCTTCTTTGGCCACAAATGGGTAGTCCCTGAAACCCATGGACTCTCTCGGGAGGTTCGTCCGGAGCGACTGGTACATGCTCGAGTGGACCGTGGTCCGATCCGGGTGGAGCCCAAGTGGGTCAGATTCTACCTTCGGAGTGTAGACCCACGTGCCACCCACTTGGTCTCCTCGCTCAAAGACCACGACTTTGTGGCCTTCTCGCCAGAGCTCACGTGCTGCGACCAGGCCGCCGGCGCCGGCGCCGATGACTGCCACTTGGCGGGAGGCCAGTGGGTTGAGAGCGAGCTGCATGGTCGAGTTGTGGACGAGAGTTTGGCAGAAGACGGTACCTTGGCGTTTTGGGTTTGGGCCGTATGGCTGTGAATTGTGATCGAGTGATGCTGTTTTAAGAAGTAACCAAATTTCTCTTGACCAAAAAAAGAAGTTACCAAAATTTTCATAATTATTTATTACAAATGTGATTAATGCTAAAGTCAAAAGCTAAGCTGGATCCAAAGTAAATTTTCAATCTGTTCGCACCTTGAATTTGATCAAACCATCTACTTGGACTTTCTTCCAACTATATAACACTTCAAATCTCATTTAAAAGTTGTAAGCTGTGTGCGGGAGGAGTTATTGTCTATGGTTGGCCTGAGAGGCGGTAATTTACTTCGTGTCGGATGTCGGCAGTTTGAGTGCTTTGGGATTTGTTTTGGTAGCACAAAGTAAAAAATAATTGGAACATCAACTTCCATTTCAAGCATGAATTTATTAATCAATGATTCAGATTAAATAAGACCGCAAACCCTTCTGACGAAAAAAAAATTACATACATTTGTTATTCGAACCAGACCCCAAACCCTTCTGACCAAAAAAATAAATTTACCAACCACTTAAACATCCCCTTATTGAGGGACAGGAACACATCAAGATTTCCTGGGATATTTAAGATGAACTTCAAAAGAAACAAGGTGGTCGCTTGTTTCACCTTGAACTGGGCGGGACATCATTTGATGTCACGTATCCATTTTCAACTCCATTTAAGGTGTATTTTCTGAAGTCCTCATGAGCTTGCAATACTAAATGGTGATCTTCCCACTCGTCCTTGTATGTCTCCGGTCGTGCAAACAAGTTCTCTATAGCTACAAAGTACATTTGCTTTCTCCATTCTTCAAAGGCTGGACAGCCACACTCAGCTGCAAGCCAATCGTCATATCCAAACTGCAGAATAACAACACTCGATATTTATCTCGTTCATCATAAACAGACACAAGTATGAAGATTAGTAAAATTTATGGTGAGAGGAAAAAGATAATGATAATAACCATAAAGATCAGCAGCATATATCATATTATTCTTCCCATTAGTATTTTCATTTTTATCCAAAATGAATATACATGCAGATTTATTTAGTGCAACTGAAGGCTCCCAACAGACTAGAGAGAGATGAAACGGCATTCTGTCCAAGGCCAAGAATCACATTGATTGGTTTTTAAAGACCTAATATATGATGTTTAGACATGATATATGTGCTTAAATTATCTTATTTGCATAAGTTCATCATGTGGGGATCAGTCAAGGATATCTGAAACAAGACATCGTTTAGCAATTACATTGTAGCCAGTGCTCTCAACCACAGATGACGAATGCATTTGTGCTATGGTCATATGGGTTGAGACTAACTAGCAACATAGGCAGTCAACCAAAGAGTGAATTTACCTGATAATCAGCAATGTTATGAGTGTATCTCTTGGGGGTGCCAGAAGCTTCGAGTAAAGAGTAGAAAGCTTTGACATGCTCCATCATCTCCTCTCGCGATGGAAGTGCGATTCGGTTAGACAAAATACCTGCTATCCACTTGCTTTGAAATTCAAACATGGGGAAAGGAGCAACCTGGCACGGAGATATTCAAAGATTTACTTCAACCATAAAAAAACAATGAACCTAAAGATGCAACAAAAATATGGCCATATTATATAAAGAAGAGAAATACCTTCCATGGTAACCCAACAAAGGAAAGTGACGGAGCCAAATCGGGTGGGAAGACATGCTTGTACAGAGGCCCAACACGGTTGTCATCCACAGTCACAATGCCATTGGTCTCAAGGAAAGGGAAATGAAATTTGTACCTTGAAATAGGGTTAAAAAAAAAAAGGGATTTCAATTTTGTGGCACTTTCCATTACTTGACAGTCAATATGGAACACTACACCATAGCATGAAGTCCAAAACAAGCCAAAGCAAGTATACCCTGTGCAGTGAAGAATGACATCCGCATGGACAACACTCCCATTTCGGAATGCAACACTACCATCTTCCTGGACACTTTTGATCTGCATTGGTTTAACATTTAAAAATTATCAGTACCTTGAATCAACCATCCTTCGAGCATCAGGCCCAAACAAAGTTGAACATTCTCTGGATGAACTTCCCATCAAAGCCACCCAATTCTTAGCCATGGCTGAAGTCTTTTACCATAGAATGAAGCCACATGTTATTATAGACCGGCTGCTTTTCAATGGTTTCATCAGCAACAGATCTAGATGCAATGTGGACTTGTTTTGCAACTCCAGCTATGTCTCGTGAAATATCAATAGCACTAGTGGCGCTCCCTATCAAAATTACTACCTATGCAAAGCAAGAAATGGGTAAAATAAGCTACATACTACATAGAGTAAAAAGAAAACAAAAACACAAGTAGGTTATAAATTCCTACAGGAGGCAGAAAGTGGCAACACAGACCTGATCTCGAAATGGCTCAGGGGTACGATAATTGTGGCTGTGGATTTGCTTCCCTTTCCATGTATTGATGCCTGAAAAACAGTGTACATTGCATAAAGCAGAAGAAGAAAAGTAAAAACCAAAACACAAGCCTGAATTCAGCATTAAGAGAAATATCTCATTCCATAAATTTTAGCTGAGAAGTTCAACTCTGTAACCTCAAAAGTTCCTTTTATGAAGATCTTCTCAAATTGCACTATACCAAAAGTCATTTTCTTCCTTCAACCAATACAATTGTACACTCACACAAGGCAGAATCAATCAGGTACCTAAACCAATATTAAAGGTCCAAACTTTGTGCCTTAAATAAATAAAAAAGATCCAAAGGATCACAACCCAATTCGATTCATATTCCTCATGAACAAATCTCAAAGAACCCAATACAAAGTTCAGAGCTTTAGCAACGATATTGATACCTGGAATTTGGGCAACACAGGGCTCAGTATGATGCCCATTACACACAACCACAGCATCAAAAATCTCATCCTCCACAACCTCACCTCTCTTACTCTTGGACTTCACCTTCCACTTGCCACCCTCCACCAAACCAACAAACACCACCTCAGTCTCGAACCTCACAATCTCAGAGACCCCAAACTCAATCGCAAAGTCCTTCAAATACATCAACACCTCTCTGTGACCCGGATACCTTCTGGGGTCTCTCTCTTCATCTTCTTCTATGGCCACAAATGGGTAGTCCCGGAACCCCATGGCCTCTCTTGGGAGGTTGGTCCTGAGCGACTGGTACATGCTCGAGTGGACCCTGGTCCGATTCGGGTCGAGCCCAATTGGGTCGGACTCCACAGTCGGAGTGTAGACCCAAGTACCGCCTACTTGGTCTCCTCGCTCGAAGACTACGACTTTGTGACCCTCTCTCCGGAGCTCACGTGAGGCGACCAGGCCGCCCGCTCCGGCACCGATCACTGCCACGTGACGAGAGGCCGGTTGGTGGTGTGTGGGTTGCATTGGATTTGGCGTTACGGTTCTGAAGTGTAGACAATGTGGAGGATTTAAATAATAAAAATGGAAAATTCATTTTTACCACTAAACAAAATAGTGTGAGATTGGAAACTAAGACTGCGTCTGCTGGTTTTGGCGACATTGCTGTCTCATTTGTTAGCTTACGAAGGATGTGCGTCGAGTCATTTCCGGTGGGCGGTGGGTGGCGGCAACTAAACTAGTAAACAGACTATTACTTTGCAATGACGTAATAATTTGGGGCGGGTAAAAAACTGCAGCACTATTTTTTATTTTATTCAAAGGGTGATATTGTTTTATTGATAAAGGGAAAATAACAAGTAAAAAAAATCGGACTATATTATAGAGGATTAAGCAGTATTTCGCTTATTAATAGAGCCTTTCTAAAAGTAAGGATTTAATTATTGGACTAACTGGGTAACTTACTCTCTCATCTGCAAGTAGGAGAGAAAAACTACAATACTATTCAATTCGATAATACAAGAATTTAAACTAGGATGCAAACAACTCAATTCAGTTTGATTTCGCATTATTAACGTCTAAAAAATATGACCCACTTAATACTTTGAGTTCTTTCGAATGTAATTTCTTTCTCTAATTTCATTTTTTTTATAATTTTTTTTTCTCTTATGGGTTTTTGCTTTTAGTCGTTAGATTGCTATTTGGTGGGGTCAATCTTTTTTAAAGATTATGCTTTGTCCCTGTCTTTAACATTTGGGTTTTGGATGGTTTTTCTATCCTTTGTACTATTTTACGGTGCTTTTATTTTATAGAAGCATATGCTATAAATAAATAAATAAATAAAACCCTAAAAATCCACAAACCCTTTAAATTTGACGTCATTCTTTCTTACTCAAGTTCTTTTTTGATTTGGTGGTGTGCAATATGTTTTCTGAAAGTTGTGGGGAACTTTGAAATTGAGTCGGCCCACATTGGTTTATCAAATATTTTATTTTGGACACGTGAGATTGAGAGTCAAATTGGAAAGAGAGTTTTTTTTTTTTTTTTTTTTTTTTTTTTTGGGAACTAGAAATCAATACCAAGGCCCAAAAAGCGCAAGCAAATACAGAAGCAGGAGTCCAATTAGGAGGGGACTACAAGCACGCATACATCACAACCAAAGACCAGTCAAGATACAAGATAAAGCAAAAATGCCAGGTAAAGAAAAGAAACAGACGGTGCCATAGATGGGCAGAGGATGTCGAAATCTGATCTAGCATTCCTCAAGTGCTGTGAATTGGGGGGCAAGGAAGACCATCTTTGTCCAAGATTCCAATCAAAGAGGATGGGGGTCGGTTGACCCAAATAGAAAGGCTCATCCTCGACATAGCTAACTTGGCTAAGTGATCGTTTGCCAAGTTTGCGGTCCTAGGGACCCATGACTAGGGCTGGCAATGGGTTGTGTCGTGTTGGGATAATAAACGTGTTAAGAATGCTCCACCCTAACCCAACCCATTTAATAAACATGTCGTATCGGGTTCGGGTCATCTTTTATCGTGCGGGTTTCGAGTTGTGTAACGGGTTCATAAATAATTACATGTATGTTACAAAACTCACAACTGGAAAAATTTAAATAAAAAAAAACGGAGAGAGGAGAGAAAATATAAGAAAAAGAAGGAAAAAAAAAAGATAGAGAGAGGAGAGAAGAGAGAAGGAAAATAAAAAAAATAGAGACAGAGAGAGGAGAGAAAATATAAGGAAAAGAAAGAAAAAAAAAGATAGAGAGAGGAGAGAGGAGAGAAGAGAGAAGGAAAAGAAAAAAAATAGAGAGAGAGAGAGAGGAGAGAAGAGAGAAGGAAAAGAAATAAAATAGAGAGAGAGAGAGAGAGGAGAGAAGAGAGAAGGAAAGAAATAAAAAGAGAGGAGAGAAAACTAAAGAGAAGGATAAGAAAGAAAAAAAAAGAGGAGAGAAAACTAAAGAGAAGGAAAAGAAAGAAAAAAAAAGAGGAGGGAAGAGAGAAGGACAAGAAATAAAAAGAGAGAGCGGAGTAGACGGAAAACAAAAGAAGAAAAGAAACATTATAAATATCAAAAGACATAGTATATAATCACAAAGTTGTATTTTGCATGGTGGATAAAGTGTTGAAGAGGAATGAGGGTGGTGGAGGTCCAAAACCCCTTGTGTGTGCGCTGAACTCTACATTTCTCTTCATTTTTTCGCGGGTTGGCGTGTATTACACGGGTTGACACGACCCGTTTAATAAACGGGTTAGACAGGTATTATAGCAGGTTGACCCGAAACCCACCCATTTATTAAATGGGTCAGAACAGGTTGACCCGAAATTGACCTGTTTTTTTTATCGTGCGGGTTGAACCCACTAAATTTCTCATGCAGGTTTCGAGTCGTGTATCGGGTCGTGTTCGAAATTGCCACCCCTACCCATGACCAGTTACAATCCCGAAAGGTAAAGCAAGAGTTCCTGATGTTACGAAGATTGGATAGAGCTGCCACCTACCTCTTGGGATTGAACGATTTGGGCAAGATATGGCCTCCTTGGAATCAAATTCAATGACTACTCTAGTGTGCCCTTGTTGGATAGCAAAATTACACCCTTCCAGAATAGCCAAAGTCTTCGCTTCGATGGTACAGTCTGCATTAACAGAGCAAGCAAGGCCAGCAGCAAAAGCTCCACTAGAATAACGTAATACCACTATAATACCTGCCTTATGAAGCTCCGGTTTCCAAGAAGCATCCACATTAATTTTTACGACACCATTAGTAGGAGGGGACCAAAATTGGGGGGTTTGAGCCATAAGAATAGGGGGTCTGCGAGTTGCATTCTTCAAGGCTTGAGCATTAAGGTAGCTCCTGCAAGCAGCATGAGATTCACATATTACCGCCATTGGTGATAGTGGGTGAGATTCGATAGTCATCTTGCATCGCATTTTCCAAATGTACCAGCACATGTAACCAACACTAGTCATGATGTTGTCCTTGTCACCCGAATTTTCCTTCAAACTCAAGGAGAGAGATAAAAGCCATTTATCAAATGTGGTGATAGTTCTTTTGTCAATTCGCAAATTTAGATAGTTGCCAAACCAGATAGGCTCTACCCAGTGACAAAGAAGCAACATATGTTCAACAGATTCGCTTTCGTCACCACATATGAGGCAACAAGGTGACGTCCCAATTTTCCTTCGGAAGAGATTAGCCTTTGTAGCAAGACAGTTCCTCAAGGCTCGTCAAAGAAATTTTTTGATTTTTGGGGGAGCAATTAAATTCCAGATTAGCTTCCAGACCTCTTTATCACATGACAAAGAAGAAGAAGGATTTCGAGGTCGCCTTCTACAATAAGTTTCATGAAGCGTGTGGTATCCAGATTTTACTGTATAATCCCCTGTTTTTGTTTTAGGCCAGACCAAGCGATCACCTTCACCCGAAGGAGTAAGACGAATCCTTTGGATGGCATGTGCTTCATTGTCAATTATTAAGTGCCGAATCAGCCTCAGGTCCCAATTTTTTGTTTGGGGTTGATGATATGTTGTACACGCTGATTAGCATCCACCAGAGAATTAGTTCTTGGAGTGAGACGCATGTTGAGAGTAGATGGTATTCATCTATCTTCCCAAATCTTAATAGAATCGCCATTCGAAACCTGCCAGAGAGCCTCGTTCTTTATCAAATCTCTCCCTTGCAATAAGCTTGCCCAAGCCTAAGAGGCACATCCCCCCTTTTTTGCTTCAAGAAAAGTAGTATCAGGAAAATATCGAGCTTTAAGAGTTTGAGCCCACAAAGAATCAGGACCATGTACTAATCTCCAGCATTGTTTTGTAATCAGGGCTAGGTTGAACTCATGAGTATTTCTGAAACCCAAGCCGTCATCCCTTCTTGAGTTACCGAGAGATTCCCAACTCATCCAGTGAACCCGTCATCTGTCACCAGTTTGACCCCACCAAAATCTTGCAAAAATTGAATTAATCTCCTTGTAGAAAGTGAGGGGGAACAAGAAGATATTCATCGGATATGTAGAGACAGCCTGTGCCACAGCTTTTATTAAGACTTCTCGACCCGCTTGTGAGATGAGTTGTTGCTTCCACCTATCAACTTTGCAAAGAATCCGATCTTTTATGTATGATAATGCATTTTTCTTGGCTCTCCCCCAAACGGTTGGCAAGCCAAGGTAATTTCCAGGATCCTCAACCTCAGGCATACCAAAGATATTACACAAGCTCTCACGTAAATGCATAGGAGTATGGGGACTGAAAAAGAGGGTGGATTTGGAGAAATTCACCTGCTGTCCGGATGCATAACAATAGGCGTTAAGGAGCATGATCAAATTTCTACAATTCTGTGTGGAGGCCTTTAGGAAAATCAATGTATCATCCGCAAACATAAGGTGGGATAAAGTGGGGGCCCTATTACCCATCTTAATACCCTGCAAGAGCTCATTGGAAACAGCACTTTGTATCAATAAGGAAAGAACATCACTTACAATAAAAAAGAGATAAGGCGAGATTGGATCTCCTTGCCTCAGACCTCTGGATGGCTTTAATTTGCGGCCTGGCTGTCCATTAATAAGCACAGAGAGCTCAACTGATCTCACACAACTCATGACAAGATTGACCCAAGATTCTGCAAAACCCATTTTTAGCATCATTGCTTCAAGGAAGTCTCATTCCACCATGTCATATGCTTTATTCATGTCTAATTTCACCCCCAAGTCGAAATGCTTCTTTGACTTTTTAAGTTTCAGATAATGGAAAATATCATGGGCAATAATGAGGTTGTCTTGTATTTGTCTCCCTGGTATGAACGCATTTTGGCTAGAGGAAATAATGTTAGACATGTGAGGTTGAAGTCTATTTGCCATGACTTTGGACAAGATTTTATAAGAGAAATTACACAAGCCAATAGGCCTGAATTGAGAAATAGACTCAGGGTTGGGAATCTTAGGGATCAAGGCAATGTGGGTAAGGTTTAAAGGCATTGGGGAGGAATTTTCCCTCAAGAAATCAGTAGCAATCCCCTAAACATCATTGCAGATCGTTTTCCAGTAAGAGTGATAGAAAATACCATGAAAGCGATCAGGCCCAGGCACCTTTGTTCCTCCCATTTGAAATATAGCATCTTTAACTTATTGATCAGTAATTTGTGAACATAAGTCCACATTTGCTTCATCACTTACCACTAGAAGAACACAGTTGAGAATGTCCCCCCAATCACGAGTGCCTCATGAGGTGAAAAGGTCTTTGAAATACTTTTCCACCACCTGTCTGACCAAGATTGGAGTCTCCACCCAAAGGCCATCGCTGTTTTTTATCCGGTGTATGCGATTCATGCGCCTTCTTTGGATATTTGTTTGATGAAAAAAATCTGTATTGGCATCACCTTCCATGAGCCATTTTATGCGAGAGCGTTGTTTCCAGTAGGATTCCTCATTCTCCAACAGGTCATTGATCTTTGCTGTGAGATGTTGGATCTCTCTGATATTGTCCTCCCAGGTCTCTTGCACAATCTCAAGTTGAGGAATGAGCTGCTGCACCTCCAAATGGTCTTTCTGAAATTTTTGTTTGCTCTACTGCTGGAGTTGGTTCCGACAATTGTTCAACTTGTGCTGCCACAACCGAATCCAAGGACCTGTTATAGATGTTTGCCAGGTTCTTTCTACATGATCATAACTCTCATCATCCTTAGCCCAATAAGCCTCAAATCTGAAGAGTTTTTTGCATATGTATCTCTTTGGATCAGTATTGATGATTAGAGGGCAATGATCTGAGCTTAGAACCACACCATGAGATACCAACCGACCTAGATTCCTCCATAACTTCATGACCAAAATGTCTTTATTTGATCTTGGTTTCAATGGCCCAAGCTTCACTTGGAGAGGCAGAGCTCGAAATGGGGATCTAATCTAGGACAAGGAGAAGTCGGACCTGGTAGTTTTTTAGGGAGATAAGGACAACCTACATGTGGAAATTGAAGGATTGCGATTATGCCCAACTATGAAAGAAAGTTTTGATTTTCTTCCTCTTCTTTCTTTCTATTTTGAAACAATGCCATGGACATCAAGCATTTTTTATTTTTGCTGTGTTGAATTCCTATCTCAGGGAAATTTCGGGTATAAAGGGTAATCTCAATGATATAGGGAAAGATATTCTCATCCTTGAGGTAGATTAGGTAAATCTTACTTTGTTAAAATTTTTATATTCTCATGAATAGTCTCTTCATCTATGTGTAATTAACAATAATGATTTTGCTGAGTAATAGTAACAATCGACACAATTTTTGTGCCGTTTTTCACATATGTACGACATCAAGCTCTTAATTCTCAAAATTTATTAAACGAAAGATTTTAAGTCGCATAACCGCAATCAAACAAGATTAAAAGCAGTGGCGGAGGGAGCTAGCTAAGGCCTAGTGTGGGCATATGCCCCCTCCCAAATCTTCATTAGGATATTGTCTTATTAATACAATTGTACGTTTCTTAACCAAATTTTAAGTGCCCCTTTCTTTCTTTGTATTTTTCTTTTTTTCCTTCATCTACTAAAGCCAAACTTAACATTCTAGTGCAAAAATAATCATCTGGTTGGTTTTAGAGCCTGCAAGGAAACAAAAACAAAAGAGACCGATAATTTCATATAACTCAAACACTATAAGCATATGGAAACAAGATACACTCTAGGTACTGAAATCACAATCATCCTTTAGACTTGACAAATGTTTCGCATAAAGCACCTTCATTTACAATGGCATTCTTAGTGACAAACTACTTACATCTGAAATCCCAACCATAAGATTTCCAGGAATTGAGACCTCCGTAAATTCTTGACTAATAAATCCATGACCCTTCCCCCCCAATTGCACCCTCAACACACTTAAGTTTGTTCCTCCAAGATCCAAAGCATAAAACAACCCTTTCTCAATCCTGAAACACGAAAGTAATGACAATAGGCTAGCTTAAACATTCCACCAAAAACGTTTTGTATAACACTGTGAAGTCCTGTATTTTAGAATTATATATATTATATTTAAGAAAATTATATATATAATTGTCTTGGTACATTTTATACTTTCATAAATATTATCATTAATAAATATATACTTTAAATAAATATATGAATATGTTTTATTTTCGTTGCAACTCCCGCATGTTATCAATACTTGGTGGCTAAGGATTGTAGTGATCAACTTTGATTGATATTAGTGATAGACATATCCATTTTTTTTTATAGCAAAGCAAGGAGCACTATCACCTTGTGAGTTGTCATCTATATATCTTGAGTTTGCTTAGCTTTGAACACCTCCTGCTATAATTTCTTATAGCTGGCAGCATTACAGTCGTATGCACATGCCAATTGACACCACCTACTTGATATGCCGACTTTCTCCTTCTATCTCATCTTTAGCCGACTCTTATTGTACTATAAATAGGAACCATTTCCTTAACTTATTTTTAGCACATGCATGATAGTGCATGATAGAACAAGAAAATGATAGAGAGAAGAAAGAAGAGGAAAAATATTAGAAAGTGTTGGTAGAACAAGAAAGACTTTGGAGAAACTCAAGGTGTTGGATTGTAGAGTTATAGGTTACGTAAATCTGCAGGTTGGGGCGTGACAAACACGACGGTTTCTAGGACTATGACACATGCATACAATTCACTCATCCAAATTATATAAGAAGATTGATCAAGAAGAGATAAACATGCAAACAAAGAAAAAAGATAAATCAACACAATTCGGAAAAATTCTGATCAGCCATATGACAAGTGTATGAGAATTCAACCAAAAGTTTCAGAGACTCAAAAGAAGGTGATAAAGAACATAAAAACATATTGCTCCAAAGACTCGGAAGGAAAGTGACATTTTTTCTTTTGTTTATCATGACCAACAATTACATTTATTTAAGGTGTTCTAGATTCTCTTTTATAGCAATATGTACTTGGCTTACTTTCTCTATGCTGAAATTGTTTAAGCTCACAAAATCATATACTTTCACTTTATAGCATACAAATATTAACTAACTTATCGTTTGGCTGTGTGCATTCTGGTTTTGAAAATAAAAAATATTCCTTGCAGACTTAGCAGGATTATTTAGGCCATTTTTTTGCATCCCATAACAAATTCAAACAGTTATATCTGTTACCTTAACAACAATATGTAAATCACCTAAATTTTTACAAACTCATTCTATATTATTGCAGATTAGTGAGTCCTAGAACTAACCCATTGCCATTCATTTTTCTTTATAAAAAAACAAAAAAAACAAATGAGAAGCATGAATGAAACTCAATAAAAATAAATAGAAAGTAGAGAAAATTGTCATGAACGTGAAAAGAAAATCAAAATTCAAAGTTTATTCGAATAATCAAGAAGATCAAATGGTTTTTTGTTTTCTCATATCCATTACAACCCTCTCATAAATTAGATATACATGATACTCGAAATCAACAAACCCGCAAGAAATCAGGTGTAATATCAACTGCTTGCTCAGAAATCTTCAAACCAAATTAGAAACCTATCTCAGAACCCCAAATCAAAAACCACAACCCAGATGGAGAAAAGAGAGAGAGAAAAAAAATCATATCCATCGATACTCATACCTGATTGCTATAGGAATCTCGCAAGCTGAGCTTACAACAGCGGGTCTGCTCTTTAGCTCACGATGGTGGAAGGGTGAGCTCTTCCCCTTATGTCGTTCTTTTCTACGTGTGCGCCTTAGCTTTTTTTGGGCGATTGTATTCGCGGGTCATAGGAGAGAAAACATTTAAAACAACCACAGCCGCACGATCTCATTAAAAGAGAGCCAACGACTGAGTGCCCCATTCCTCAAATAGTATTATTTGAGGGATCCCTCATATAAATAAATAAATATATATATATATGGTGGATCCATGACATCATAGTTTTTACACAATTTTTGGGCCATTAGATTACTCCACTTTTAATGATTGAGATTAAACCTGACATAGAAAAATAATATTTTTTTCTTTAATTAATATTTGTACATTGGGATTAAATTTCTGATACCATATTAATTAAGAATTCATTCTCTCTCTTTCTTCTAAAGAGAATTGACGCATCCTCCTCTACCTTTGCTTCTTCTTTCTCGTCCCATTCTCATCCCCAAAGCCAACCTAGAGGTGTCAAACGGGACAGGCCGGTCTAGCACGGCACGAGCCCAGCCCCTTTAAATGAGGCACGGCACGACATGAGCACGAATAGTAATGGGCCATGCCGAGCACGATACAAAATCTTGGGCCGGGTCGGGATAAAAAATGAGGTCCAATGAATCGGGCCGGCCCACGGCCCGACATGGGCCGGGCTTGGCCTGAGCCCGCTTCAAGCAAGGTACAAGCCCAAGCACGGCCCAAGCATGGCCCACTTAACTTTTTTTTTCTTTCTTAAATGTCAAAATGCAAAAATTTGACATCTAATATCATTGTTTATATGGTTTTTTTATTTTTTTATAATCATAAACATATATTTGATGTCTTTCATTTTAGGGAAATTTCTTGGATCCTAAATTAATTAAACATATCAACTACAAATTAATTTAACAACATTGGACTTGATATCTAATCAGTACATATGACATATACGCTTCTCTTATAATCAAAGTAAGACATTTCTTCACATATAAAATAATAAGTTATTTAAAGATGAAAAGTTGAAGTTGACTTTGTGGAGTTGTACACTTTTTGCCCTCTGCCTTTTATATTGTTTGGATGTTTGATTGATTAATGTTTTCAAATAATTCATCATTTCTAGCCACAAATTATATTTTTAATGTTTATAATTTGAATTATCAAGTGAAAAAAATAAATCAAGTGAAAAAACTTCATATTAAATAGGTTGGTTCTTGGGCCCGAGTATGGCACGAGCACGGCCTGCCCTGTTTCAATGTGGCCATGGGCTTTGGGCCAGGCCAGGATCAATGATTTTACTAAATGGGCTAGCACGGCATAGCTCGATAAATTAAATGGGCCGGCAGGGCACGACACTAAAACGTTAAAAGCACGAGTTTAAATAGGACGGGCCGGCCCTACCCTACCACCACCACTCCAACCCCTACCCTACCTAAACCTCAAATCACAGGGACTCTCTCTCTCTCTCTCTCTCTCTCTCTCTCTCCTTCCTCTTTGGTATCTGACTCCGTTAGCAAAAAAATTGGTGCAAAGATGTGATATCTCATTCTTTTCTATGCTTCTTATGGTAGGGAGGGAAATTGCTATTAGATCTTACCCTCTAAATTTATGGGATACAAATCCCCTTCAGTTCTTACTCCAACAAAATGGTAACGAAAAGGCCGTGTGTTCTGCAGGAACAGAGGGCGATTCTGATGAACCCTCAAACATGTGTGACAATTTTTGATATTATAGCTGGTGACCATATCTAAATACCCGTATACATCCACAAACACTTGTGCACCTGGCTCTTGAAATGAAAGATATACAAGAACCCAAAATTCATACGGCATTGCTAGTCCGAGCTACTCTTTGAGCTTCTTCCAAATCTTTCAAGAGCTTGTTTTTCCCAGCCAAACAATAATTGGAGCGGAGCATCTTATATTAGACAATTTCAATAAGCTACAATAATTCACTAGAATAGCCTCAAATAATTACAACATATAATTGAAAACTTCCAACAGTCGATGCATAAATACTTGTTCCAAAATCTCTTAAGCAACTGTCTACCAAGCACAACCTCCCATTGTCCAAGATTGATTAGGCGAGTGGATGCTTAATTATCATGTTCTCAAAACTTTCTAGAAACTAATATGCTAGATGAATTGTACCTATATGGAGAGAGAGAGAGAGAGAGAGAGAGA